TGAAAATTTTGTTGTTAAATGAGAATAAACATACGACTGAACTTTCGCCTTTTTATTCTTGTCTCTTTCTATCGAAATTATTACAGTGGGACGGACGAAGAAAATTGACTTTTTACAAATGAATGCTTTTCGTCCGTCACAGTATTAAAATTTCAATAAGAAGAGAAAAAGAACAAAGCGGAGGAATAAAATAAAGAAAGTCAACTGTATGTTTATTCCCATTTAACAACAAAAGTTTCAACTCTGAAGAAGAGCATATTATGTTCGGAACTGTCAATTATGATATATCTATTGTTATACATTTATATTTACATTTATGTATTTTATTTTACACTGGTAATTGTAAATTATAATCTATGTAACATATTTAATGAATTAAGCAAGAACAAAATATTTTTAAAATGACCAATACAACCTTCTAAAGCGTAATGAATTTTCATTCTCTCCTTACAACAACAGAAATAGCTGTATTCTGATAAAAGAGAATTAATGGTGTTGCATAAAGTTGAAATAAGGTATTCATAACCTATAAAACTTTATTGAAGCTTGTGTTTGTATTGACTGTATTTTCTATTATTCAAACCCACATCAATTCTCCAAAATTAGATATATACGTGAAAATCTGACATTTCCAACACCAAAACAATTTTGTATAATAAAATGTATTTTTCAAAAATCTTACCAGATGGGGCTCAAAGATCCGTAGGTGGGGCTCAGCCCCATCTGGCACCCCCCTGGCTCCGCCACTGCCACACGCCACCCTTCTAGTCTTTTGTTGGTTTCAAAAAGATTAAAATTTCATATTGTTTTGTTTCAACAATTCAATAGTAAAATCTTCATATCTATCAGATAACTTTCACTAAAACTTTGAGACCATAACCAATTGAAGCCACGTCAACTAAACTCTGCTACAAGCTCCTTCATCAGATTTATCCTATTCATCTGAGTCCTCCTACTGTTACAACATTGGAAATAATTTTGGATTATAAAATAAATGTAGTTTACTGAACTGAAACTTTACAAAAATAAACGCGGAAACGTCGGATTTAAATCCGAGAGTTATGTGTACTTCAAAAAGTGAATGAGACAGATGAGTCATCCTAGAATGTGTGGACGTAAAAATTATCCTGGCAAAGCTTTTCTATAAACACTTGATTTCTATTGGCTACTGCTCAACCACTAGGATTTAGAGCTGATAGAGCTCAGATTTGAACTCTTCACCTTGATTTACCCTAACAAAGTCGTTTTTTCTATAACTTGATTTCTATTGGTTACTGCTCAACCAATAGGAGTTCGAGGCAAACGGAGCTCAGATTGGAGTTCTCCGACCCAAAAAATCTCGAACTATCATCGCTGTGATCGAAAGACAGAGCTCTAATTGTGGCTCAATTAGAGTGCGGACACAAACATAACCAATTCCCGGTTAATTATCCTTGCAATAGGTGAGTTAGTCTTCTTGTTTCTTTGTTTTATATACCATTTTGTAGCTCGTGAAATTCTCTATCGAATGGTATACAATAGCTGGGGCTTTATTTGACTATAATAGTAAAAGTTTTTTACGAAAGCGTGGATAGGTCGATTTTCGCATAAGAAAGCATAGAGAAAAATTACTATTTTTCCAATAACTCAGGAACGGCTAGGCCAATTCTTCTCATCTTCGAATTCGAGCGAGATATTGTTGAGACTAAACCGTGTAGAAAATTTCATCGCGATCGGACTCTCCTTTCAAAAGTTATCGTGTAAATGGCCGGCCGGACGGACATACTGACCGATTCTAGAGTGTACTCGCTTTTTGAGTACACAAAAAAGTCTCAAACAAGCATTAAACATACTTACAGTAGGATAATCAAATTATTGATAAATGTGATAGATATATTAGTGTAGCACATCTAATACTAATACGCGATTTACCATCACTTTTTATCGTACCATGCATATTGAGTAAATGTCTAACTGGAAAAAAAATACATAATTGATTAACAAGTTTAGCAACTGATGTTTGTTTTTCATTATTAATCATTGATTTTGAATATAATTCATCATTCATTTTATATACTAAAATATCGTGTTGTTTATTCATTTCAATAAATCAACGTTGATATGTTGAATAATCTATTATTTTAGAAAAAAAACTTGTTGTTCTCTTTTCACAATATTTACCTGTGTTTAATGTGTGACTGATACAAGTTACTTCTATAATTCCAATTTGAATTGAAATTAATAATTGATCAAAATCAAATAAATTTAAATATAATTTCATGTGTTTCCAATGAATTTCAAATTGCACTATGATTTTTTATGTTGTAAACAAATATAAAATATCATATCAACATATTAAAAAAATAAAGATTTACATAGAAAATAAAATCATTCATTATTTATCAAATACTGATTGAAAGATGTTGTTCATTTGTACCCATATTTCTAGTTCTTGTTATTGATCGTTGACTTTTTCTTGATGATGATTGAAATTTTTTGATATTTAATTTAAGATAACCAATTATTAAAATTTTACTATGATTTTGATTATAATGCTCAAATAATTGATCTGTTAAAATAAAAGACAAATCATAATTAATTGAAATAATTATTTGAAAGAAAACTTACCAATTACATTTATCATTAGAAAACGTTCTATAATCATAGGATAACATATTGACTGAATAGGACATGAGAGGTTCCTGAAAATAATTTAGTAATTGATTATATATTTAAAAAAAAAATTATTTATTATTAATATTAGGAAAAAAAAAGAAAAATTTATTCTCACTCAACTTCATACCTTAGCTATAACGATTGTTAGTGAATCAACTATGACTAATTTATTTCATTTTTCATTGATATTTAATGATAAATAAAATTTTATTATTCTTACTGCAAATGATGGACAGTTTCTCAATCGGTATTTTGTCAAATAGTATGAGACTACCTATTCTACATTATATGAAAAATATCCTCTCCTGCTCTAAGTTTTAACTAAAAATGGACTCAGAAGTTGTCGATTAACTAGAGCAACCGCATAACTTTTTTCTGATTACTTCTTTAGAAGAGGTTTCTTAGATGACAAGAATTTTCTTTTTTACTTACTTTGATTTTTTCATCATTAATTGATCAACCAAGAATATAAAAAATAAGTTCATTATATTCTGATAAAATGGTTGAATCTTTTTCGAATGTATTACATTTACTGATTCGTCAAATCGCCGTAGAACACCTAATTGAAATTGAAATAAAACAAACCTTTGAATGCTTTTTATTCAACATTAGGATTGTCTTTTATAATCCTGTTTTATAATTCATACAAAATTATTAAAAAAAAAGAATTTCTTTTATAATACTTTTACAATAGTCGTAATTGATTTAAAATTATTTTCACCTTTATCTCTAGATCAAAAAGAACTTTCGATAACATGTTGTTGTTAAAAATAATTTTAAAACTTCAAGTAATTTACTTAGTTTATCCATTTTGTTTATTTTATATTCAATTCATTTATTTTAAAGCTAAATAAATAAGTTTAAACATTTTTTGATAATCATAATAAATGAATGAATAGTTGACGGAAAAAGTCTAACGTCGATTGAATATTCACCTTAATCACTGAATGAACGAAAAACTATTCTACAAATCTTTATATTAGATCCATAATTTTTACCGTAAATTAGTATTTAAAAAAAATCACCTACTGCACTTGATCTATTTGAACTTCTGTTTTATTATATTATATTCAATCAATATGATCGTAAAATAATATTTTTGTAAAACGTGATGTAATAAATAACAAAAATGATTAAATTTATAAAAATTTCTTTTTCATTTTCTTCTTTCAATTATCTCTTATATATATGTATGTTACTAATCAAAGAGAATAGTCGATAATTTTTTTTTGTGTTCTTCTTTCGTTCAGTCATCACTCTTATAGCATGATATTGAGTGCACGACATCTCATTTGTTCTTACACATTCAAGATGAAAAGGAAAATAAATTGAACATAACATATGTAAAGACGACATAGATATCGTGCACTCAATATCACAGCATGAGTCAAAACAACCGGTTGTCATTATACACTGCGTATTAAAATTCCGTCAACGTCGTCTTTCTTCTCGTTCTTCGTAACAGAAGAAAAAAAAATTTAAATCAAACGGAGCTTTTGAGGGTGGCTCTAAAACAAAATGAACCTTCCCAGGGATATCCGACGTTCTGTTGGTAACCTGTACAGGCGTGTAGATGGTAGGCCTTTATAACATACACTTATGAATGAATGACTAGTACATCCATGATCATCATCTTCGGAAAGACGATGATGAGATGGATGTTTCTAGTCATACATACATAAATGTATGTTTGCCTTATCATTGACGGCTTTGTTCACTGTACAACCCATCGGAATACGGAGGGTATCCCTGGTCGCGCGTGCACGGAATTATTGCAGCTGGTGCGCTTCGGCGAGCAAAACGTGTTCAAAAAGGCCACTTTATTTTCTTGTTAAAAGAAAAACAATCACATTTTCTTTTTCACATTGTCAATGTTTCTTTTCACACCCGCAATATGTGGATGATTTGAAGGTAGTGATTTTTTCAATATGTCTTGCGCCTTTTCGTAATATGAAAGTGCTTTCGAGTACTCGCCCATGTTTTTATACGCATTACCGATGTTGTTGTAGGAACCAGCCAAGTCGGGATGATTCGGAGGA